GAAGAATCGGAACGAACCTTTCCCTCGCGTGGAAACTCCTGACTAATTCCTGTCGAGTTTAAATAATGAATAACACTTTAGGAAACACATGTGGTTTTGAGTACGATAGGTCTTCGTTTGATCGTTTGTACGCGAAAGTGCTGATTTGTTTCGTGCCTCGAGCCACCAACGACCGTGCCTCCCAAAAAAACGATCTCTCGCTCGATCTGCACCAAGAGCTCGGCAAAAGAGGAGCTCTCATTCTATAGAAACGTCTGAACAGAGGCAGACCAGATTAGCTTCGAAGCCTTCACGATTCGTCACGAATGGAGTGTAGATATAGTGTCCATCATCAGCCGCTGATCGTGAGCAGAGAGTTTGTTGTAGCTTCGTTGTCGGCGATAGATGGATAGATAGGTTTCTCGCCCATCAATCGGATTGGGTCTTCGTCGTTCCTCCGCCTGATGAGCATGGCAGCCTCGCTCTTCCGTGGGGCCAGCTCGAGATAGTTGTCTAAGCATGTCATGCGTTTAAACGGCAAAGACTGGGCGTCTCAACGGGCCGCCTGAAGGGGCCGTTTATATCCACCCGTTTCTGAACGGGTCCGGAAAATCGTTGTTTTTTACATACAACAGTCCAAAATGATCCGACCATTTGGCCCTTACTCTAATCATCAGTCATCAAACATGATAATGATACAAGAAATATATTTATTATAGATCAGATATCCTCCGACTCCGGAGGGCACTTTGAGTAAAAGTTCCTGAGAAGCACGAGGCTTGTGAATGTGCCCTCGCTTAATCGGCCCCTAGAGTAATGTCGAAAATGTCTTGCCCGACTGAACAATCTTTCGGACGCCACACTGGTCGGCAGAACCATCCTTACGTTGCGGTCGAATTCCTCCGGGAAAATAGCCGACACGTGTTCATGCTGGCGGAGCTTCATAAGAGACTCTCTGGACGCTATGAGAGACGCGCATAAGTTATCCACTTCTTGAGGAGTGCTGCCATTCTTCTCGCCGAGCCAGAGCACGCATTGCGTCCTGAGTTCTTCCTCTACCGTCGTTCCCGCCGGGGTTCCGTTTTCTCTTCGAAAATCGTCCAGAATTCTATCAATCCGCTGCTCCTCGTCCGTCGCGCCCAGATTGGGATGAATGAATCGGATGAACTTTGAGGCCACACCGCGTCTCTGGCTGATTCGGTGGATCAGATTGTGTTTCATTTCTCGTGCTAGATGGCACTGGAGGCCATCGATGTAGTTGAGAAGACCCTGGATCAAGGAGAATCCAAGAAACTGAGCTAAGGAAGAAGAGCTCTCGGGAGTCTTATGCGATTGGTGTCCGATAGGGCGAGCCCACGCTTCCATGAGATCCCCCAGAGTTTCGCTAGTATCGAGTCATCGCTCCTAGTCTTCAAGGGAGAAGGTGATGGCCTTCTTCATCGCCCGTTCATATCACGTGGGGCCTCTACCGGTGAGAACGCCAGGCACGTTCGAATACGCATGCTTGTCTTCCGAGAGAGTGTTGTCTTCATCTCGCGGAATTGACTTCAGCAGTATTATCTGCTTCGCTCTCCAGCCACTCCAGACTCCCGCGAGCCCCCCATCTCTTCTCAGGTTTCAGGCCCAGCCTAGTCCGAATACTTGGTGGCAACGTTGATATGATCTCTGCTGACATTCAGAGATAAAAGACCGAGGACATCGTCGAAATCCCGGGCGTAGAGCTCAAGGATGCAAAATGCAAGCTCAGCGTACGCTCTAATCGCCCGGAAGCTCCGACAGGGCTCCTCTGACCTCCGAGCACTATTCATCTGCAGTTTCCTGAAGTCAACCTATCCTATGAGGACATCCTATTTGGATACTTCCTCGATGACGGAACCCCATCTCATCGGAGCCTTGCAACTCGCTCGATTGGTGAAATCCAGAAGCTCACCGACTCACCGGGAGGAAGAAACTCGAGAGAACCGGGATTCCGCATATCAATACATTGCGCTGTCGTCACCGCGAGCTATCTACACTCATGGCGTTTTCTGGGGAGGTACGGATATACTCCCCGAGATCTTTGCCATAATATAATAATGATGATATGATATCATCTTAAAAATAATTTGAAGAGAAAGCGGAGCTCTCCAGATACCTCGAGGATCAGATCAGCGTCGACGAGAGTCGCTGTATCCTTCGACAGCTCTAACATGGCTCCCTTGACCGGTCCCAGGACGCTGACAATCTCCTTGATCTGCCTTACTTGCTGTCTCGTGAGGAGGAAGTCTCGGCTTTGCTCAGCGAAGATCTTTTTAACTGTCTTTCTGATTCGCAAAAACCGGTCCAACAGGTCATACGTGCTATTCCATCTGACGGAGACATCGATAATAGCGGTCAGACCGCAAAGCTTCTTGACTCTAGTTGCCAGATGCGACTTTCTTATTTCTTTACAGAGATTTCTGACGGTGTCTATCACAGCACTGATCTCGACCGAGGCATCAGATTAGAGTCGATTCGTTGCGCAGCGACGCAAACATCAGGAACAAGTAAAAATATTAGGCCCGGTAAGTGCGCCGAGATTTCCGGACATAAGTCGTAGGAACTGAGAAGCTGATCTTGCTCCACCGATAGCGGAAGGAATCAGCTCGCCGAGGGCACATAAGGTAAAACATCGAGAAACTGAGAGTCTCACTCTTCAGCACCGTGGACTTCCTCGAGGGTCCTACGGATCACTCTCCATCAGAAGGGGAGCTCTGACGGAATCCCCTTCTGCATCTGCGATACGCAGATAAGTGTGAACCATCGAAGATTGTGTTTGCATGGCTTGAGTCGCTCGGAACCCATATTTACCTGCTGCGTGTAGTTCCAGAGAGAGATAGATTGTCAGCTTCACACGACTAGGATTCACTGAGCCTGATGCAGGACGAGGACTTCAAGGAATGAGGGCTCGCTATATTCTCAGGTCTTCGTAGACTCACGTTTGATACGGCAAACCACGATTGCTAGGAGCACGGCCAGAGCGCAGAACTGGATGCAATCGCGTGAATAGCTCCGATATCATGGCTCTCTCGCCCTCCATCCGGTCTGGCGTACGGCTTGGACTCATAAGAAGCGAGAAGTAGCGAAAAATACTATTTAATGGTATCTATCGGATCAAGAGCTCGGTTCTTCGGTATGAAGAGTGCCCAACGGTATGAAGAGGAAGACAGACTCTGTTCCGAAGCTGCCGCGATATTTGCATTCCTCCCCTCCCGAGATCAAGCGGTCAGTCTTGACCTGCCCCTCGCAAAACAGAGCATGATCGCGAACATCACGCACAGAACCACCGACAGAGAGACTGTGACGTACGGTAGCACCATCGGATAGGTTTCGATCCATGGTGCTATGAGAAAAGCGGGAGAAGTATTGCCCAGGCTCATGGCGAGCTGAAATCGGAGGAATTGCTCACCAACAAAATAACGGCTTCGGGGGTCGCCCCGACTCCCGGCTCTAGAATAATGCAGACGATGAACACCGACGAGCCGCTTTCGGAAGAAATCTCGCTCAACTCACCGTTGTAGCGGCCATGTGCCAGTGTTTCAAAGCTACATATTGGCAAGTCCAGATTAAACTGGTACCGAAGAGTGCGCTCATTCCCAAGCCGAGTCCAGCGGTAGCGAGCCAAGTTGCGAGCGGCGACACCATGACAAGGGACGAGAAGACGGCCGATGAAAGCATGACGCAGAACAGACTCAGCTGAAAACAAGTGATAGGTGGAGCAATAGTTTAGGGCGTATGGAAGGTGTCTGGACCCGAGACGAACTCACCACCATGATTTTGGTCACCGAGAACCTATAGCCAACGACGAGGAGGACTCGACCCACGAAGAAAGCCGATCGGTAAACTCCCCCAAGAAAGGCACCCTGTGATTTTCCCCAGTGCAGGTCCGAGAGGACCACAAACGGAGTGATCATGCCTAGAAGAATTTGCTTCGTGAAATGCCACCCGAAGAATCCCGAAGTACGTCCGAATCTGACGTCAGCTCAATTTATTCGGCAACAATTCATGTTGTCGGTTCCCCTCTCATCCGCGGTTGGCCGCGAATGAGCTGTCAGCCACGGATGCGAGGGGGACCGACGAATCTTCCACCCACCCGTGAACGGCCGTAGCCAGACTGTCGAAGAACACGAGAAACAGCGTCAGAAGAGAGATCAAGCAGATTTCAAAAATCCCGTGTCGCCTTTTCTGATCCTGGGTCTCTCCCGGAACGCCTTCATTTTCGGGTTTCGCTCCAGCTTTCGTTTCCAACTGCATCGACGTCACGAGAGAGAGGATGGCTAAACCAATACCGACTGAAATACTCAGTAAGCCAACTCCAACATAGGGAATGTAGATTCGCGAGACCTAAAAATGGAGACGGTTAGGGTTTCCGAACGATGGCATCGCGACAATTCCATTCGGGCAATGATGACTCGAATCTCTCCCTTCCTCTGAATGAGCCTCTAGGGTGGGTCATGGCAGCAAGCTCAGGCCAAATCGTTCGACTGCTCACACTCGTCGCACTGTGCTGGAGCTTCCCGTGTTCGATGACGTCGCTCGCGCTGAGGAACGGCTCAACAATGATGGAAATGATGAAAGTTGCCAAGCCGTATCCAAGCTGATAAATATGCAGAGCGAGAGCAGGCTTCTCCCACAGATTTGCTAATGCCACATAAGAGCCTGCCGAGAGACATTCGGAAGCCTGAGTTCGATTGTTTCGCCGTTGAGGTTTCCATTGAGAGTTTCGCATTAGTTTTCTCCGGAACTCACAAGCCTCGAAAGTGACCGCCGTCACTCCACTGACGACGGATGCGATATGAGCGAGCCAGAGAAATTTTGCGGAGGGGAATAACATCAGAGAGAGACCTTCGAGCACGATTGAGGCTATCAGAACTGGTTCAGAGCTGCGTAACAAACCGATAAGACCGGCTGGAAGGAAGCTGAGCATTAGAAAATCTGTGAATCGCTGCGCCGTGAGCACGGACCACAGAGCGGAGATTACCGTAGATCAGACTCCGACATGGAACCCTGACTGTGTCACGAATCGTCGACGTTTCGCAGATTGCTAATCATCAATTGAGCTTGGAAATCGGGGCCAGCGAGGTGCTTCTTTACATACTCCTGATGATGGACTTCTCGTGCCGTGGACTCCGAGGCAGATCTCTCGGATATCGAAACTCGCTTGGTAAGTTATTTGGAGCGTTTTTTGAACTCTTTACAGATCAGCTCCTGCCGACACCGCGGAAGCGAACTTCGACACAGCTCTCAGAATTCAGAATCCGCTCTCAGTCAGAATCAAAAGAAATATTCCCTCCACTTAGAGCCCCCTGAGGCCGGGACGTTTTGAAGGGCTTCGGTCACTTTATACATGTAAATACAGAGAGATCCCTACATGAATCACTCAGGTACCTAGATTCACAACCTAGAATGGATCCAAGGAAAATTCCGACGGAGCGGGACGTGTAAATCAGGGAGATTTCATCTGTGTGCACTCCGTAGATTTCCGCGAGATCAAGTAAGGTGGGGCCCAAGATCCCGCTCAGCAGACCCTGGAAGCAAACTTCTGCACCTGAGGAGTTGAACTACGGGAGTATGTTCGGGAGAAGGTAGAACGAAGGGGGGATATTCTTCCCTCCAATACTGAACATTCCCCTTCCTGCCCGATGCACCTCCTGAGTATCGAGGAAGTTCAGGAAGAGAACAAAAATATTGGACGGGGAATCGTTATTCTCATACCAAGCACAAATTGCCTAGAGCGAAGAGGAATGTATAAGCTGTTTTCGCTGTCCTCGTTGACAACATGACTTCCCGAACTAATTCCCACGGCAGGATCTCAGCTTTATATCCACAACGAACATCACAGTCAAGCCTCACGGTCAAGCGACCTGTGCGAGCTTGAGTACTTTCGAGAGGGCTTGACGCAGGCAAACTCGCGCACAGATTCCTTTCTTTTGGGCCTTAGAGGAGGATCGCTCCTGAAGCTCCAGCTAGAAGCATAGCTCGCAGGAGCAGCTGCGATTCAATCTTCATGCATTCTCTCTGACGTCGAGTCAAATCAGCAGGGCAATTTGAACGAGCTGACCTAGCTCTGCTCCTGCTTCGTCTGATGTATTGTCTGAACAGCTCCGCAATTCTGACCGAATACATTATACAGATCTAAATTGGAGCGTAGGAGTTCCTTTCTGGGACGCCCTACCCTAGGGAATCCTGATCGTCCATGTAAGGTTTTCTACGGCAAACACTGGAATGAAATCACCAATGTAGCTGACTACCGAGAATCGTGAGTTTCCTTGCGTAGAGGAGCGAAATCCTCTCATGCTCTCCCGGAGTGTTCAACGGAAGAATCTCTGTCGGGTCTGAAGCACTCATTCTGTACGAGTACTTAGGTAACGATTTTCAAGCAGTTCAGGTCCGATCCTGCCTCGTTTCTTTCTTCTCAAAAAGTCCCTGTGCATAGGGACGACTGAGCTAGCGCCGCCCCCTCATTACCTGCTTTCAAACACGAGAAATATTGTCGATCGGGTGACATGATGTGAGTAAGCTTCTCAAGTGAACGCTTGCGGGAAGGGGAACTTTGCTCGTGTCTCGGGAGGGGAAAACGAAATGGGTATTCGAAGTCGGGGAATTTCTCGACAACATTTCGGAGGGAATCTCGACAGATATCTCCGGACACTGGGGGAGGGGGAGAAGGCGCTGCTCAGCGGAAATACCCTCGGGAAAGTCCCAACTTTCCGAGTGCGCTGAAATTCGTGCCCTCTACTCCTCTAGCTCTGCGAAGAAACGCCGCGGAGACCAGGAGCCCATCGTATGGAGACCCGTTCCTTTATCCGCTTTACGCTGGCAACTCGCAAGCCTGAAATCATATAGCCCCGAGAGCATCCCTGACGGAGTGATTCAGAGCAGAATTGAAAACTCATGTATATTTTTCGGGCTCTTCATTCAAGCACCAGTTTTTTCTTATTTCTCACGACAAAGAGCATCGTCGCGAAGGTCATGCAGAGGAGCGCCGATAAGCCCAAGACTAAATACGCCAGAACCATGGGGTGGGTTTCGATCCAAGGTGCTACGAGAAACGCGGGAGCAAGATTCCCGATGCACATGGATAGCTGGAAGAAATATATTATGGTATCGAGATCAATCCAGAGCTTTCGATTCTTCCAGGCGAGACTCGTGGACCGCGCCGCGTTCCACTCACCATGGAGACGGCCATGTGCCAGTGTTTCAAGGCGACATATTGACAGGTCCAGACAATGCCGGTTCCAAAAAGCGCGCTGAGTCCCAAACCGATTCCAGCCGCTGAGATCCAGATCATCGCAGGTGATTCCAGCACGAAGAACGCGAAGATCGTTGATGACAGCATCAGGGTGGACGAGCTCATCTGTGAAAAGCGGACAAGCTCATCTGTGAAAAGCGGACAGCCGTTACACGTACGAAAACCCGATTTAGGCCTCATGGCGTCCTATGGGGCGGTGTCTTTCCCTGACGGTGTCTTTCCCTCGCTGCGCCGACGAGCTCGAGGACCCGGAATCGACATTAGGCGCATTAGTGAACCGTCCACAGAACGGAAACACTGGAATCGGAGAATCTCGGTGAACTCACCGTGAGCACTATCCATAACGGGATTCTGTGCGCGATAACCAGCAGGAGTAGACCTGCGAAGAACGTGGAGCGAATCACTCCCCCGAGATAAGCACCGGCGGATTTGTCGAGGTGGAGATCCGAATGGATCACGAAGGGCGTGATCATTCCTGGAACGAGGATGTATCGGCTCACTTCGAGCGGATGAATTCGAGAGGGAGCCCGACGATGTATGCAGCTCGTTCCGCTCCACCATTAGCGTTTCCACACGGAATCTTTTCGCAGACCCCCTGCAGAGGCTTCTCTAATCAAGTGTGGATTGAACTCACCAGTGAAACTCATAACGTTGCATTCGAACATCAAGAGGAAGACTGCGAGAAGGATTACCAAGAGGATTTCAGAGGCTTTCAATCGACTCTCCCTCGATTCTTCAGCGATAGTTTCCGGTACAGCGGAATTTTTCTCAACACTCTTGGACTTGCGGGACGAAGCCTCAGAACAGAAGAAGATCGTCATACCGATAGCCACGATGGCGCAGCAGGCGGCAATGCCTGCGTAGGGTATTGAGATACGAGAGGCTTGTCAACAATAGATGGTCACCGTAGGGGACCACGGACCGACACAGTCTGAGGTGGATTGAGATGCTCCTGAACTTCCATCGTCGGAAATTGAAGCCTCTGCGCCAACGCATGCCTATATGGGACATGCAATAACGTGGAATAACATGTTGGATCGGAATTAGATAAAATAACGAAATAGCATGTAATAGTTAACACATATACATACATAGCATGGATAGCATGGAATAATGGGGTAACCTTGATAATAATGGAACAAGTTAGGAGTGATCGCGCCTAGAAAACTCCAGATATATTTCCTATACATAGAGCCTATCGGGGGGTGTCCTCATGGTTCACGAACCGCCGAAGCCCGTGCGGAGCAAACAGAGAAGCAAGGCGGAGACATAAGAAAAACCGATCGTTTGTCTTATGCCGGCACAAGCTCGCTCCGGAGAAACAGCGGAGAGACAAGGTTGGAACTGGTTGGGACTCGAACGCACGGCTGCCGCTCGAGCTCGCTTGCAAGGATCTGACGGGCAGACGAGAGGCAGACGAGAGGCAGACTCGCGACCTATCGAGCATGCAACGCCAAGTCTCGGGAATCAATTCGGCGTCGTGGGCGGTCAGGGTTATGTTCCTCTCCATTATTCCTGCTGTAGTTTTCTCAATTGATATTGAATTGGATAAATTCTCGCTTCCGAGTCAGACAGAGCTCATAAGAGCTCGTGGGAGGTCATGATATTAAGTACTACGCATTATGCATGCGAACCTCGAAAAAAAATTCCATATACCTAGAGAAGAAAGATTCGATGATGATGATGATAATCGCATGGTGTGATAGTCAGGGCCGTGCAAGATATGCTTGTAAATGAGAAATGCGCGTGCAGTATGCACCGGGAGAGAGTGAGGTTGAGCGCGATTCAACGAAAGGCCATTCAGAGGAGCACCCAAGGGTACGAGCTCGCTCTCAGACAGGAGCCTGATATTCGATAGACGAAGCCGAGAGGCCTGAAGAAGCTCCGTGCGGACTACCGGGAGGTCTGACATCACGAAAAGCTCACCTTCCGCGTCGTCGAGAACGAGGCCTGACACGAGGGCGAAGTCTTTCACTCTCTGGATGTCACCGAAGACTGAAGCAGTGTCACCGCCGAGCGTACCGTCATCCAGAAACCAAGGCCTGAACTCCGATTCTGGAGGCGACGTAAGTTGATAGAGTGCAAAGCAAAAAATGATGCAATGCAAAAAACAATCATTTCCAAGACCCGTTCAGAGTCAGATGAAAAATAACCGTTCCGACGACACGCTCAGACGCCCAGTCTTTGCCGCTTGAGCGCATTACATGCTTCCTCGGACTTCCTTGGACCTCGATCAGAGGGAGCTCAGGATTTTCGGAGAGAAGGAGAAAGGTGACCTCTGTCTGATGATAAAGGCGCAATTCCGAACCCAGAGTCTCATGACAGACTGATGACCTTCATCTGGTAAGGCAAACGTCTTGGCTGGGACCCGACTGTTCCCCGAGCCGTCTCTCCCTTCGATTCCTGAGGAGCCAGACAGTGCGACTCGCGCTTTGAGATTTCATACGTCTCAGACCGAGGTGGAACCCTGGAGTCCTGGAGCTCCGGTCAGAACCCGCGTGCATGAAACTCTACAGATCTGGCTCAGACACAAAGGGTGACCCGGCCATTTTCCGATGCAACTGCGCCATTGAAGACTCTTGAGTGCTGGACTGTGTATGCCCATGGTTGTCTTCTATGATTTATTCTCACAGACCACACTCGATGATATTCCATATGACTAATTAAGTAATAAGTCTGATATCCTGATATCACCTCGGTGTCTAGCATTGCCCTTCTAACCGATAAGACCGTTCCACGGAGTCAGCGGAAATTCTGGTTTGGCTTGTTGTGCGCCGACTGTGGGAGCCCCGGCCTCGAGAGTCGAGAGGCTGCCTGGAAAAGCCGCGGTGGTGCAGTGTTTCGGAATCGATGAATCGGGCCCCAGAGGATTCCATATGCTGTGGGCGGTACAAAATCGGGCGCCGTTCGAGGGCACCGAATGCCTTCCCTTCGAGGGCCTGGACTCCCTCTCATCCCCAACGGACCGCAATAAGATTGAACCCCGTATCGACTATATCTCATTCGATTGGTCCAGGTACATTATTTCTCACATTTTGGTCGCAGAAAGGCTCTAATCACAAGAAGCTCTGTCCTCGTCTTTCACCGGAGACTGGCGACCGAAGAGTTGTCTTCTATATTCCGCAGATTGTTTTCCGACCTGGGACTCCTTAGTAGGCAACTCTAGCGGCGCCCTGGGATGTGATGGAATGTGGTCAATATTACGGACTACGGAACACAATATGATATTATATGAACATATAAATATATATAAATATATATCTCCCTTATAAATATCTCGAGCATTCTTACACGAACATTCCCTCGAGATGAGGCCGCTCTTCTTCTTCATGAGCGTCCCCTTCAATTTTCGTGACGGGAGACGTCGCTCCAGAAACTATAAGTGGGACCATTCGATTAGTGGTAGTATTCTTCCTGACACACGCCTGTTCCGGAATCGAATTTGGCGTTTTGATAGTAAAAACTCTTTCTCAGGCTCCAGATCGCTTTGCCAATTCAGCCCACCTGAGTAGGTAGGACGCTCGGGTCCGATCGAAGGGTCAAAATCTATAATCTTGCCCCTTGAACTTCGAGCGCCGTTGAATCCACCACCCTGTCCTGGCTGGAAGGGATTACAATAATATAATAATCTCGCATCCGAGGTCATGATATGAACACGAAAGTCACGTCGCGAGACTTTTTCTTAGTTCGTTCTGCCCTCCATGGATCGAAGATGTCGAGTAAGCAAGTTTGTGTCAATCAGGAGAAGCTTGATTGGCATGGGCTCGAGATGATGTCAAGGACCTACCGACGGACTGGAGACAATGCTAGGTGGTGCGGAAACCTGGACGTTGCAAAGCGGATTCGGAACTAGAGTGAGAGTAGCAGGCGGGTGGAAGGTAGTGGCCGTCGTTATTCCAGAAGCGATTCTGGGTGTTGGAGCCCATTCAACATCCGGAACGGATGTACACAAAGGACTCAAACTGAACATAGGAACATTATTATTAGGCTCACTAAGATGAGAGTCGGACTATCGCACGGCACGATTGTGTCTCATTATCTTCCCTGTGAGAATTTACCTGTAGCGACTGTTTCCTGTATTCCTGATGTAAACGCAATCGACCTCTGCACTCTGTCCATCATCTAAATCAATCGGGAAGGGCCGATGGGCTGCTGCAGATGCTGCGGTGTGTTGAGTGCAGGGCGTCAGACACATATCAGAGCTTGTGGAATCCGTGGAATGCGGTGACTCGACGGCATCGGACAAGATCGGAGATAAGCTAGTAGCGACAGAGCCCATCTCTCTCACGCATGGTTGGTTCCCGTCTTCGAAAGTTTCTTCATTCAAGGTTTCCAAAGCCCCAATAATCATGTTCTCCTCCATCGTGACTTGTTTCTCTAGCGAAGTAGTATTCGGCTTCATTGCGGACGTCTGAGATTTCCGACTCTTCGATGATTCTCTTTCCGTTGCGGATTTGTCTTCTGGCCTCGCTTGGTGTTTCACGTCTTCGCTTGGCTGATGATTCCGATTACCAGGCCCCCTCATCATCTCCAATGCAAGTTCCATTTCGAAATTACGCATCTGGACGATATGCATCTTGAATATCTCCCAATCACCGAAAGTCATGCCGAGAACGGCCTTGAGCTCTTGTAGATCACATCCGTAGAGCACCAGACCGTTGATGTTGTGATCCTTTATCGACTTCTGGTATTGCGGTTTCTTTACCCTACTTATGCCCTCCATTTCGGACAACATACTCCTCACGCCGTCAACCGTGATGGTGGTCAGACGTTCAGCGGGTATCTGAAGAAGAAAATATCTGTCTTGAGGAACATCCGTGGAACCGTATCGTCGAAGCCTCCGCTCGATGGAGGCACATCGACTCATTGGATCATCCACTCCATCGGAGAGTCTCAGGAAGACTCTATCGAATAGGGCTCATCTTTTTCTCTTTTTCCATCTGATCGCTGCGGACCAATCCGGTCGCGACGTGTCCCTAATCAGCGGACAGCACCGCCTGGAGCGTATATTTCGAGGGTGAACCTACCGAGAAACCACTCTGTCTCAGAACTGCATGAGTGAAGTCAGAATTCATCATCGGAGCGTATTGATTCAAGGGCATCGGATCTGGAATTGTTCTCTCTCCTTTACAAAACTCAGCCTCATTATCTGGTGTCAATGCCGAGAGTGTCTGCGTCATAGCTTCATTCTGACATCATACCACTGCGTGTCAACTGCGATATTCCAAAAGGTGGGGGATTGGGTTGCAGAAAACCTCCGACAGCTTGTTGTGCGATGAGGCGTTGATCCGCGGACTGCTGTGTGCGACTGTTTTTTGAGATGCTAGTCGCTGTGATCCCCTGTTGTAGGCTCTGCTCTAATTGCGAATCATAGGAATCCTGGAGGACTCTCCTGATATGCGGATCCAAGTTGATTGCGAAAGGGATGAACATCCGGAGATTGCCTATCTGCAATGCGTGAGAGTTCGAAGAGAGGCACAATTCGAGTTTTTTCACATCGTGATCCATCGTCTGGAGCTGTTCCAACTCTTTCGACGCTGGCATGAGATTTCGAATCCTTTCGAAAAGGCTTCGTAAAGGTGACGAGTCCTCGATTTCTGTCTCGTGCGTTTCATAGTAGTGTATCAACCATGACGTTTGACAAGGCCACTGTTCTGTCAAGTTCACCCAGAGAGCGAGATGATACCTTGAAAAGAGTACATCAATATGACACCCGGAGAAGGAATTCTCCACCAAAGCTCTCCCTGACACAAGTCTCAGAAATTATCGGCTGCCCGGCTCCGATCCTATTCCCGAAAAGATATAAACACGGCTGGGGAAAATGAGTCTCTCCCAATCTTCCCGCAGTGCGCTAGTCGACTCACCAGCTGAAGTCGATGTTGAAAGCCCTCATGAGACGTCCGGTCACGTAGAGGATATTCATCAAGCGACGCATTGATCTCGGATTTATATCGCTGAAGTAATCATCGTTGAGCAGAACCTTGGTGAGATCCACGCCGCCGCTTAACGCTGATCTTTGATGTATGTTTCCAATGCTGCTAGCAATACTCTCGCTCGACCTAAGTTTTTGATTTCCTTTAGAGGATGCCCGCTTGGCCTTGACTTCTAAGGCACTGCAATTGCTAACTCTTCGCGAAGTCAGTCCCTCCTTTTCACTCCATTCTTCGCGGTCCCTAGTCAGTTTACCAGATTGGGCGACTCGGGCCGCCGCTTTCACCTTGCGCAAACCCGAGTTCTGGAGGAAAAACGGAAGATGGACAATATTCTGCAGGTAATCGTATCCCCTCAGAGAGAGGCTCCTCAAGGATCTACTGACGTTGGACTCGATCGCTCTTATAACAATATGAGGGTCTACCGCCAATACAATGACGAATGGCATGCCCGGATCCGACAACATTACATTTACGGCGTCCAGCACGCTCAGAACTTTTGTCTGTTCGCATGAATCCAGGCCATCAACAATTATCACCAGCCGCGTCTGTTTGCGCGTGAAGGAATCCATGCAATGGATCATATCACAGAGAACTTTCACTTCAGATTTGAGCGTCTCTGAGAGCCCACCGTGCGCTGTCTTCTCAATACGCGCCGCATGCCTGTGGATGTTCCTTTCATAGGGAAGTATTAGGGAAGTTGTCAACTTCACCCAAGTATTCAAGCTCGCGATTAATACCACGCCCACAACCGTGGCGAAAGTCATGATCAAGGCATAGAGAATGTCGGGATTTAATTTTTGGGCGCTCGACGGAACTATCAATTCGATCGTGGTCATTATAGATATTATCGTAAGAACACAGACACTCCAATGAGGCACGCAGCACACACGGCGAAACACCCACGAGGGCGAGGAAGTTTGTCTCGGCCGCAAGGCGCGATAGAATCGTGTCGTGAAGAATCTGAAACCGTAAACCGCATGTTGATTTGTTTCGATGCACAATAGACAACATGATTCTGCCGCGGAACACCGGAGGGCGGGGAAGCACGCAAAAGTCTCACCCGAATTCATCTTCGAGTGCTTGATAGATGGAAACAAGCAGACATGCGATACTGGTGCCGCCATCGCCAGTACTGCTGACCTTCGTCTTGCTGCTGAATATGAACCTGACGGGCGTGGAGCCATCCTTGGTCTTGTGGTTACTCGGATGACAGAAGATAACTTGGAGGAGGCATTTGAGGTCCGAGAGGAGCTCATCGAGCCGAGTTCCAGCATCTAGCGCCCAATCCCAATCGTAGTAGCGGCTTCCATAGCGGATCAGATAGAAACCGCTATATGAAAGAACGATTGAAGATAATACGACGGCTGTCGCCATCAGCCACATTTGTGTTGCCAAACCTGTAATTTCGCAGTGGACCTCACGAATCATACTGAGCTATCATTGATTGACCCTAAATCGGCTCGGGAACCAGCCTCCGAAGCATCAAGAGCGCAGTGAACTCACCCAGCGTGTATCCCAATATTACTGAATAAAAGCATACGGTGATGAAGAGAACCCAGGTGTATTTCAGGCCTGGCTCCAACCATTGGAATTCGTACGATCGCAGCTCGTTCTCTAACTTATTCAGGAGAAAACTCTTCCCCGACCCCCAGCGTGCGTATAATCCTACCGTGATAGGCACAGTCAGGGAAGGTTCACTCAAAATATCGGCTAAAGAGCTGCTGTAGAGATCGTATCTGGAAGGAAGACTCTGATATTATGCGGCGTCCGAGAATTAGCTCCCGGAGGCAGCTGGACCGAGGCTCGGAATTCCAATGCGAGTCTCGCGACATACCCGAGCATATTCTCATTTTCTGCTTGGGTATTCAATCTGCGTGCCCCGAAGATTTGCTGTAGAATACTCTTTTGCTGTGCGGAATCGATATTGTAAGGTGTCTCGCCGGCCTTGTTTGGACGATACAATAGATATCCGTTCTTCGGATTACGGAGCAAGACTTCGCATATTGCTTTCGATCGGGCACGCATCGCAATGTGCAACGCCGTGTCTCCTCTCTTGTCACACGCGCTGACTTTTGCTGGAGTTTTGCGGTCGATGAGCATGGTGACCTGAAGGGAGAATTGCAGTCTCGGCTTATCTGTGTGCGGCGATCCGATTGCGGAATCCCCGTCGGATTATGGGGAAGGCGTCGCTCCAAATCCATGATTCAAATAAGATGTTGACTAACCAGCTCCAGATTCCGATTCCTCGTAGCTCGCATCAATGGCGTATCCCCATCCTTCGTTGCCAGCTCTAGGTTGGGGTTTTGATTGAGAAGACTCCTGACCACATCTGAGTGACCTTTCTCAACGGCCCAGTATAGAGCGGTTTTCTTATCGGATCCCTGAATGTCGATGTCTGCGTGTCGTTTCAGCAAAACCTCCACGACTGACAAGTTACCGACCTTGGCAGCGTGTATCAGATTTGTGTCACCTCCTTTGTCCAGCATATTCACATAAGCGCCCGCCGAGATCAGACGGGTGGCTATCTCGGTGAAGCCTTCTTTACAGCAGATCGCAAGCGCTGTGTATCCGTCTACGTTCACAGCATTAATGTTCGGTTTATGTTCGAGCAGCTGTGTAACGATGTCTATGTAATTGCCTTTAACGGCGACGATCAAGGCGGTCCAGGAGAACATGCCTGCGGTATCCACATTGGCTCCTGCTTCGAGAAGTTTTTCGACGATCGCTGAGAATCCGCGACGAGCCGCCCAGATCAGGGGCGTTGAACCGAACTTATCGCCCGCGTTCACTTTGGCGTTGTGTCTTAGCAGGGTGTCGACGATTTCCAGATACCCCCTTCCGGAAGCCCATATTAGAGGTGACATATGATATGCGTCGTGTACATTCGTGAAGGCCCCGTTCTCGAGCAGGAATCGGGCTATTCTCAAATGCCCTCGATAACATGCCCACATCAGCGGGGTCCAGCCGGTCTGCAAGTCATTACTCTGAGAAATCTGGAATCATATCATATCGAACATAAAGAGCATCTGTGCCGAGTTCATCAGCTCTACGGGCTCACCCCATCTCTGCATTCGATCGAAGCTCCCTGAGTTATGAGGAGGACGAGCACATCGTAGAATCCCTCCTTTGCCGCGTTGTGGAGTGCGGTCCAACCATCGCAGTCTTCGGCGTTCGGATCCCAGCCATGGCGAAGGAAGTCCCCACATAGAGAAGCTTGCCCAGCCTGCGCAGCGAGCAGGAGCAAGGTTTGGCCGTTCTGAAAGATGGAAAGATGAATCAACCCGATCGATACATGAGCTGGCCGGACGTCGGCTCAAATTTTGAGGTCAGGATCGCTTGCCTCGTCTCGCTCCTCGCACATCAAAGATCTATTTTTCAAGCTCTCCCGGACGGAGGACACTTCACCGGTCTTGATCCAGGCTGCGGCTGCTTCGAACATGGCTGACGGGCGGCTCTGAGGCTGAAAATCACCGAAGAGGAACTGTTCAGAAATGTACCCGAAGAGGAATGGCTCGAGGAGTCTACGGTTTCCGAGTCTCTTCGATCATTCTAGCTGCCTAAGGCTATGATCTGCAAATCATGCCAAAGAGGAGTCTCGATGCTCGATACCCTGTCACGAAAGCGAGCGATCCAGAGAATTCGGGTCTGAGCGATGTCAGTCGGCCGCGACTTTCCGGGAAAAACGAAAGCTCATTCCGAAAATCCAAGCATACCTGGGCAGTCGAGTCAAAATTAACTTGCTTCTTTTCCCGTCGGAGGGACATTCTCAAGTCTTTTGGGTTCAGCATGGTTAGACGAGGTCAGTGAAAGCCTCCGGACATCCGATTATTAGCAACGGGCGGGTTTCGGTGCTCGGCAAGAGCTGTGGAGATAGAATAAACGGTCAAAATGCCCTCCTGTCTGTTACTGAGTCTCAGCGTTATCCTAGAGCGGTTGTTCAGCGCAGGCAAGTGGAAATGTTTCAAGTGGCCGGAACGACTGTCATGCATCTTGTTCATGGGAGCTCTTCTTCTTTCTCCCTTCTCTCTCTTTCTGTTTGGAGGACATTGGCCCTCGGAACTATTCAGTTCGGTTGGCAGCGATCAAGCCCGGATTATCACCGCCACGCTCCCCGAATTGAGCGCTCATACGTGGAGTCGCCACAAGTAATCGAATCGTCATGCTCCACGCGGCATCCGCGTACGGCTCGATGTGAGCGCGCTCGCGTCCGCGAAAGCTCTTCTCCAATCATGTGAGACATTCATTCGAAAATCAGTGGGTGATCGAGAGACGCTTTCAATGAGCCCTAGGGTTCGCGTTGAAACCTCGCCGAAAAGTTCTCCGACTTTAATTCTCTCTAAGAATTACCTTATAAACATAGATCAGTGGGTGTGACCTTGAGGTCCCCAGGGGAAACCACAACATTACGCATCGCACTCGTAGATATTGAGCTCTGAAGAAGCCGCCGAATCGTAGCCCTCTTAAGTGCCCCGCAGGAGCTTTCCTGGTCGGATGCTCTCTGATCGAGAATGAGAGACCCCTTGCGAGACGGCAGGGCGTGATAGATAGACGGGTAGCCAAGCATACTTCGAGACAGAGACACGCTCGGTGGGTCAGTGTGAAGGATTCGCGAGCTTCGAGGTTAGCGGTGGCACATCGGTTCCAGATCCGCTTTCAAGAGCAATTCGGAGAAGCGCATCGAGCGTCAGGAACGAGTCGACATCTTATGCGACGCTCTCCGGAACGACTTCTTCTTGCTGGACTACACAATGTTCCGGACACTATTTCGATTTGCATCCTCGAAGTTAGTGAGCAAGATATTCCAGGCCGGTCTTTCGGGTTTTCGCCGAGTAAATTAGCCAAGCCAGTTTCTAGACCGCCTCCAGACTTCCAGTACCGGGTTCTCGGACATGCCCGCTGCGCCGTTGTCTGCTCTTCATCCCAACCTTCGCGGACAGACGTTCTCCCAGTCGACATGGTTCAGCTCTGTGGAAAACGTGTCTGAGTTCCCCATTCGAGTTTCTCTTCTCGCGAGGCATCGAACCCAAAGGATTTGCCCAGACCAGAGCCGCTCACGACTCTCCCTCATTTTCCTTCGTTGCCGAACTCTCCGGTGAGACAACACTGGACGTTGCGTGGCCCCCAGGTCCTTCGGAGTATGGTCCGTCGGGACTCTCATCAAGAAATGCTCCTCCAGCAGAGAGCTCAGCGTCATAGCGATGGCGATATACCCTATCTGGTCGAGAATAGATGCCCAGTGTCATACTTTTTTGCCGCGTCATGCTGACTCCCCTGTCGGCCCACTGTTTCAATGAAGATATCGATGCCGTGGAAGTCTGCGAGGCCTGTGCTCATGGAGACATCTCCTCCGCGAGACAGGTCATCTCGTTCGCTTCCGACTGCGCCGCGTCGTCGTCGAGACCTCCGAGATCGCCCTGAACGGCGTTGGCCGGGGCCGGGGTTGTCCGGTTCAGACAACACCTGGCACGAATTTTCACCGCCAACGAAGGAGAATCACAAGCGAAACCGCTCGAAATTGCGGGCGGCTATGCCAAACCCCTGCCCGCTTTTGGGACTCGCGTTGACTCGTGGTTCGAAATCCAGCGCCGTATCTCCCTCTCCCCATATCCCTTCCCCGGACGGACAATGCTGTCTGTCCGCTTTGTAAACAGATGGTTTCTGGTGATCCTCTTCGCGGTGCACGGCACCGGCTCTGTTTCTCGTGTGGTGGAGATGGGTTGTTTGGACGGTAAAGATGGTCTCGTCGCGGAATTCCTCAAGACAAAGGTTAGTTGTCTTGCAATTCGGAGAGGAATCCACTGGGCTCTTAGAACTGTTGTCCCAGTCCATCGAGTCGCACTACAATCAATCTTCTCGCGGACTCGGAATTTCGCGCTCTAGCCAGTCGCAGCGTTCACTCTGCAAGAACATCCCTCTAGCCTCTAGCACGGAATCGAGTGCTGGACTCACTCACAGAGTGCCTAGCCGATTTGGATCGGAATTCGGGCACTGAATACGCACTCCATTCGAGATCCGACAGCCGGAACTCATTGCAGAGAGGTCGAATGACACCGCGCTCTTTCTAAAGTTCCGTACAACAACGCCTTCAGGCCATTGGGGAACACAATGATATATCGCAAGCGATGCGAAGGCGATACGCCACAGCTCGTGGAACCATCGACCCGAGGCTCACCGTGAAATCTACCGATGAAGCATCGCTCTCTTACTTCCAGGGGCTGGTTCTACATCACATCGCATCCTTCGACTATTTTGTCGAGACCGAGATGAGGGAAATTTTGGAAGCCAACGCGATTGTGTATTCAGAAGCTGACCCGAACTGGTACATGGAGTATACGGACATCCGCATTGGTACTCCAAGCATCGTTGAAGGACCTGGAATGATCGCGGCAACGACACCGTACCAGTGCAGATTACGAGACATGACGTATTTCGCTCCTATTTACGTCGACATAGCATACAAACGAGGGAATGAACTAGTAATTCGCAATGAGCTCGAAATCGGTCGTATGCCAATCATGCTGAAGTCCAAAGGTTGTGTTCTGCACAGTAAAACGCCTTGGGAGTTGACCAAACTTCGTGAATGTCCCAACGACCACGGCGGTTATTTCATCGTGAAAGGCGTCGAGCGAGTCGTACTGATGGCGGAACAATTGGCTAATAATCGGATCCTGATCGATGAAGACAGCAAGGGGGTAATCTCCTGTCAAGTGACCTCGTCGACGCATGAGCGAAAATCTAGAACAAATGTAATCGAGAAGAACGGCAAATTCTACGTGAAGCACAATAGCTTCGTGGATGACATCCCAGTTGTCGTGATGTTCCGGGCCATGGGTGTTCAGAACGATCTGCGAATACACCAAATGATTGGCACGGAAGAGAACATTCAAGTCGCCTTCGTTGGATCAATGGTAGAATGCCACAAGCTACATGTATTCACACAAGAGCAAGCCCTGCGTTTTCTGGCAGCAAAAATGAAATCTCGCGTGTTCGGTCCTCAGAAAGTCGAGGATCCCTTAGACAAAGCTTGGGAAGCAGTGTTGTCATCTGTGATCAATCATATACCCGCGCAGCCTCCTGAGTACAACATGAGACTCAGAGCACACTATCTCGGTCTCATGGTCCGACGGATCATTCAAGCAAAATACGATCGAGGTTTCATTGACGATCGTGATTATTATGGCAACAAACGAGTTGAGCTTCCCGGTTCCATGATCTCTCTTCTGTTCGAAGATCTTCTGAAGCGGGTTAATTCGGAGCTCAAAACGATTGCCGACAAGCAAATTCCAATGATGAGAGTCACTCAGTTCGATATCGTCAAATTCATGAAGCCGTCAACCATAACTACCGGGCTAATCAACGCCATCTCGACCGGGAACTGGATTATCCGACGTTTCAACATGCATACGATCGGGGTCACACAGGTCTTATCCCGATTGAATTACATCTCCTGCCTCGGTACGTGAGAGGGCTTTCCAGAGGAATCTCGGGGCATACATATGTATAATATTCGTGATCTATTCCGCGTCCCCATCAGTTCCCCTCTCGTCACCTCTACTGACGCTGACAGTCGATCCAAAATTTCAGGAATGATGACTCGAGTGAACTCTCACTTCGAGAAGTCTCGCAAGGTTTCGGGGCCCAGATCGCTTCAGCCCTCACAATTTGGGATGCTCTGCCCGTCGGACACCCCAGAGGGTGAAGCTTGCGGGCTCGTCAAGAATATGGCTCTCTTAGCGCACATCACGATCAACTCTTCGGCTGATCTCACAGACTTTTTCATTTCTCTGGGTGTGCAAGACGTGCGACTTCTCTGTGGAGCCGAATTCAGCCATTCCCACATCTATCATGTTTTTCACAACGGTGTCATCAAGGGTGTTATAGAGGATCATCGACGATTCATAGAAGAAGTGCGCCAGTTTCGACGAAAAGGCTTTTTATCGCCGTATCTCTCTGTGTACCCGAATCATATCCACCGCTGCGTATATATTGTTACAGACGGAGGCCGTTTTTGTCGGCCTTTCATAATCGTTGAGAACGAACGGCCGAGAGTGACCTCCGAACATCTCGAAGATTTAAATTCGCACATACTCAACTTTCAAGATTTTTTAGACATCGGTTTGGTAGAATTTCTGGATGTTAACGAAGAGAATGATGCTTTAATTGCTGTGTACGAGAAGGATATAACCGACAAGACCACGCATCTCGAGATCGCTCCGTTCACGATTCTATCTGCGTGCGCCGGCATCATACCGTTTCCGCACCACAATCAAAGTCCTAGGAACACCTATCAGTGCGCTATGGGTGAGGAATACTCCTTCTTTCGGTGAAAGTTGCCAATGGAAATTCTACATGAAGAGCTCGGGGGATAAATCTGAAAATATTTCATCCACACAGGAAAGCAGGCCATGGGCGTGATTGGATACAATCAACACATGCGGATAGACACTCTACAATATAACATGGTATTCCCGCAGCGTCCTCTTGTGAGCACAAAAGCCATAAAGCTGATCAACTTCGATAGGATGCCTGCCGGCCAGAATGTGTGTCTGGCAGTGATGAGCTACTCCGGATACGATATAGAAGACGCGATCGTCCTGAACAAAAACTCCATGGAGAGAGGATTCGGTAAGAAACTATCACTGAATCTTTGGTAATTCCCCTCCGATTATTGGGGATGATTATGATGATGAAGATGCACTCATTTTCAGGTGAATGCCGAGTGGTGACCTCACAGAAATGCCAACTCAGACGATATCCGAATATGGCTTGCGACAGAATTCTGGGCCCTCTGGTTGACGCTTCCACCAGAAAACCGATTTTCGATCATCAGTGTCTAGACTATGACGGCATTGTGATGCCGGGCGAAACGGTGGTGAAGGGGCAAGTGCTCATAAATAGACACATTCCAGCGGGAACAGCTAGCTTGGATCCGGGACAGCCAATCGAATACAAGGAGATGCCCCTGAGGTTCGTCTGCTTCATAACGCTTTCCGCTCGCGAGATGAGGGTTGAGCATGGAGTCTCTGATCCGAAGCCTCAAGTTCCGGGTTATTGCAGGTATCAGGGAACGGTCCCAGCGCAGATTGATCGGGTGATGGTCTCCGTCAACGCCGATGGGGAGACTCTTTTCAAGGTTGTGATGAGTCAAACGAGGAAGCCCGAGATCGGGGATAAATTCAGTTCGCGTCATGGTCAGAAAGGAGTGGTCGGTCTCATCGTCGGTCAAGAGGACATGCCATTCGATGATCAGGGTGTGGTTCCTGATATCATCATGAACCCTCACGGTTTCCCCTCGAGAATGACCGTCGGCAAAATGATCGAGATTCTGGCCGGAAAAGCCGCTGCTCTGTCGGGAGAAGTTCAAGATGCCACAGCGTTCGAGAACAAGTCAGAGGGAGAACCCGTGACTTGCTCAGAAATGGGCGAGCTTCTCCAACGGAACGGTTTCCACTTTCAAGGCAAAGACATCTTGACTTGTGGAGTGAACGGTCAGCCTATGCAGGCCTACATTTACAGGTGAATGTCGAGGCAGATTCCTCAGATATGTAGGGGTCGTTGGCGTTTCGATATGATTTGATTTGATTCGATGAAATGCATGTGGGGGCCTCGCGAAGTGACGAGCTGACGCTAGCTGATCTCAGGGGTACCTGCTACTATCAGCGCTTGAAACACATGGTGCAGGACAAAATGCACGCTCGAGCTCGCGGTCCCCGAGCTGTGTTGACCCGTCAACCTACCGAGGGCAGATCAAGAGATGGTGGTTTGAGATTGGGAGAAATGGAACGAGACTGTCTCATTGGTCACGGAGCCGCAATGCTCCTGCGCGAACGACTCATGTTCAGCTCTGATGCTACCGAAGTTGATATCTGCAACGTTTGTGGTCTCATAGGCTTCCTGAAGTGAGTAGACTTTCTGACGGATATCAATGGTTGCCAAGATGATCCGATGAACTAGGCGTGAACGCTCTGCTTTCAGGTGGTGTCAGCGCTGCAAATCGTCACAGGCTATGTGCACCGTGAAGATGCCCTACGCTTTCAAACTGCTGTGCCAAGAACTCTGTGCAATGAATATTGCACCGAGACTCAAACTCGAGAGTGTTCTCAGCGATGACAATGAAGGGATACGATCGACTGACCTCCCTTGGAAGATGTCATAAAATCTACTAAATTCATCAATAAGATGCATCATTTTTCTCCTACTTCCAAAATACAGGGATAATCCCGCTTCATGACCTGTCGCGGCATCGCCGCGGTCCTGGAGTTATTTCCACCCACAAGCTTGACCTGTAGCAGGCCGAGACGGAATGAGGGCGAATGTGCACGCCGATGTCCCCCTTGTGCACAGTCTATCGCGTTGGTGTGCAAGTGACACAATGATCGTTGCGAGATAAACTCGGAGTCTATTGAGCTCCCAGTGTTTCGCTGTATCGGCCATCCCAGAATACTTATACATGTATCTATATAGTCTGGAGCGGAGCATCCCCGTGAAGGGAAAATGTGTTGCGGAGTCCGTCTTGGGCCGAAGGTATGCGTTCAAGTCCGTCTTACCTCTAGGAAAGCCACTGTAAGCCTCCGAGGTGCTCGAGGAGCCTGTTTCACATCGATGATATCCAGTTTGCAGTCCACGTCGGCGCTTCGTGAGCGGTCACTCCATCTCATCTGGGATGTCGCTGTTCGATACGTTCCAGTGGAACCGAACGAGTGAGACAACAGCTGACTGAGCGCGGTGGGAGAGCACACGGGGACACGAAGGGAGGGAGGTGAGCAGTTGACAGTCTATGGACGCTCGAAGCTGACTTCTTTCATTTTTAAGGAGTGAGCTTCCCGCGCACGTACACAGATCGGAGAATCGCTCATCGGGAACAGCGATGATGAGTGATTCTAATTCGAGGCATCACTCCTCTTCCTAGCACGATGCCATTGCCATTCTCGGTAACGTTGAGTGATCTCGAGAGCATTCGGAACATACAGACGTATGTATCTCGCACCAATCTCCTCAGGCGAGCTTTCTCTTCTGTGATCGCATCTTCACGGTGGTACTAATACTGCTTGGAAAAATTGAAAAAACGAGATCAATTATTCGGGTACAGTGATGATTGGCTTCAGCGCAATCGTTGGAAGTTGATAATTCGTCATAGTCGGACGTACAGGGTCTCTATAAATAAAGAGGAGCAAGGTGTACAAAATTATTTACTACAACGAAGTCGAACTCTCTATTTAATATAACAGCTAATGGGCCCAGGACGCTTCCACTGTCCATTCGCACCGGAAGAGAGATCTGTCAACCTTCTCCTCGAAAGACTCAGCAATATCGAAAGGAGAGAGGTTAAATCCACTGAACAAGTCTTCACGGTACAGAGAGCCAAGGAGTCGAAAATCTCTTAGACAACCAAGAGAGATAGGAAAATGAAGTATCCATGCAGAATTTGCAAGGAGCTCGGGCGCAGGGCGAAAGAATGTCCGAATGACGAAGAGAAAACGAGCTTCCTGGCGAGCGCTTTCTGAGTAAGCAACGAAAATTCGTGCATAGACGCATGGATAGCGACAGTGGCGCTTCTGTTCACGTAACCGCTATGAAAGAGTACTTCTCTGATTTGGAAGAATTCCAGTCTCCGAGAGGGGTGTACCTCGGAAAGAAAGGCCTGACCTTGCGAGCTCTAGGGAAGGGAAAAATCGAAGTATGCAGAAATCCTCTGCGCGAATCGATGGAGAAAAGCCGAACTAATTCATGTCTGGTACATCCCAGATGCGAGTGCGGATTTCTTCTCGGCCAAAGCAGCAGCCGAAAAGGGTTTCAAAGCGTAACTCACTGATGTTTGAGTAACGATTAAATCCACAGACGGACTCGTAATGGCAGAAGGATCAATAGGGAATGAGCTATACGTGCTGAAAATGCGAGTACCACGGAAGTCAGCCGAGTGAGCGAATTTATCCGTCAAACAAGATTCACTCCAAGTGTATCATGAACGCCTCGGACATCAGAACAAACAATATGTCAAAGATTTCTTGAGTAGAAAGAACATCTCAGCCACGGAACTTGGAGGAGGCTTCTGTGATGGGTGCGCGCGTTGCGAAATGCATCGTCTACCTTTCCACCTACGACCAGGCCAATCCTCGGAACCCAGGGAGCCAGTCCATGCCGATGATAATGGACCAATGTCCGTTAATTCAGCTGGTAAAGCGAGATACTTCATATATTTCAAGGACGACTTCTGCAAGTACCGTAAGGGGTACTTCGTGGAAGGGAAGGATGAAGTCGCTGATAGCATAGAGGTCTTCCTGAATGAGCCTAATAAGACGCGCGGTCATGTGGTGAAACGCTTTCGATCTGATGGTGGTTAGGAATTCAACAATCAGAAAGTCGCGAGAATTTTCCGAGAAAGAGGTATCGAACATCTCATTTGGCGTGCCGAGTCCTCCTGCACAGATTGGGTCTGTTGAGCGTGAACATCGTACCATCGTCGAATCTGCACGATCGATGCTGAATTCGACACCGCTCCCGACGAAATGATGGGCGGAAGCTTGTGATACCTGTTGTTGTCTTCCCGCGATTTCACTGGTTGAGCTTGCGAAGGTACGGACTCGAGGTCATAAACGAACCTTGCAGGCAAATCCCAGCGGCGGACTTTCTGTCAAGAATACATAGTAGGGATAAGCTGGAGGAGGTACGACTACCGAAAGTGGTAGCATCTCTCGCCATCTCGAATTACTGATTGAACGACTTCGTGATGGCAACAGATGATGGACCCCAAGAAACTGTATGCGGACGGATGCCCTAATGACCAGGGAGAAGTCCCGAAGACTGCACCCTCGTATCGGCAAAATAGTGAAGAACCCCATGTGCACGATGGTCTCGTGCTCAGATCCGCTAGAATCGTACTCCCGGGATCTCGGAGAAATATGGTCTAGGACCATTTGCAAGCATGTCATCAGTGAGCCATCATTCCATCAGCATGGGAAACAGGAGTCGACTAGCAGTCTATTGGGCGGACTAGCAACAAACGACACCATGACAAGATAGCGAGGAGTGTCGAACGCCTAGGCAGTCAATGGAGGAGTGGAACAAGGGCATCGTAGTAGAAGTCTGCTCGACTCCTAGATCAGATGTCGTGCTAGATATGGACAGCAACCGAGCTCGAAGGAGCAGTCCCCACATTTGTACGGACTCAAGCGAACCAGTGTCCGCCGAGGAAGAAATGTTCTATGGTGCGGAGTCGCGTTCCGTAGTCCCAATAGACCCTGGAGTAGACTCTCCGAGAGAAAGAAGAGATACTGGATCGATGGAGATGAATAGATACCGGAAAAAATAGCAGATTGAAAGCAGAAAAATGACAGAAAAAAATGACCAATGTAATAATGTTCCCGAACACTCGGTACAGATCGGACATCATGGAAATGAAAACATAAAAATGTTCGTGAGAGATGTATGATGGCTAGAAGGCCCGCAAATATACGGACATACCTATACTTTTATACCTGCCGCCGGGTGTACGATAGAATGACGCGGACGAAATGACGCGAGGAAAATGTCGCGAGCCGAAAATGACGCGGGCGAGGATGACGCAGGGAAAAAGACGCGAACCCAAAATGACGCAGGGGAAAATGACGCGGGATCAATGCAAACTTAGTCCCGGTTGTTGTTCGGCTATAAACCTAAGTAAGCGCGGCGGGGAGGGATACAATCGTATGCCCCCCGCCGCCCTGACTCAGGTAAGCGCGGCGGGGAGGGATACAATCGTATGCCCCTGCCGCCCTGACTTAGCTTTAGTCCTCCTCACAATGTCTTAGCTAGGAAGCTTCTGCTGTATACAACAAGCTGATCGCCATTTCCTCGAAGTGCTCGGTCACCCCCGAGGGTTTCCCCCCGATATTCTACAAGCTTAGCCGACGCGCTCTGCGAACCTCTGTCAATTATTTTCACCCGTTCATTCTACGATGGAGAAGTTCCTCAGTTGTTTCGAACCCTTTGTCACGCCTCTTCATAAGAAAGGTGATCGAAAGGCGCTAGGTAAATACCGCCCAGTCGCGCAGTCTGTGATACCGTGTCTCATACTGGAAAGGATACTAGTCGACTCGATGCACGCCCACCTCGTGTCAAATGTCCTTCAAATGGGCAAGTCATCGGACATCTCCGTTGCTCACCGTGATGCAGGACTGGGGAATTGCCCTGGCAAACAAGAAGCAGTTAATTGTATGTATTATGATTCCTCTCATTTGATAAATTGAAACATAGCCACTCGATGTCGAAGTTACATAAGTGTGGCTTCAACCCCAGCTTGATAAAGTGGTGTCAGGCGTATCTCACTGACAGAACCTTCAGATTTAGGGTTCGAGACACTGTTTCCTCCCCCAATCTACACCATGAACGGCAACATTACCAGAAATGCGAGCTCCGTCAGAGAACTAGAGGTTCTTGTTGATCCTTCTCTCAAGTTCCGACTCCACACAACCGAGGTTGTGAAGACTACCAGCTCCATCTGCAATCTAATACTCCGTGCTTTTATCTCAAAGCGGCCGATATTCTATATGGAACTCTACCGAGCTTTTGTCCTGTCAGGATTACTCTACTGTTCGCAAGTCTTGTCACCATGACACATGGGACTACTTGAGGCACTTCAGAGGCGTTTTGTTGGAAGGGTCGCTGCTCATTGTGGGATTGATCCCTTGTCTATTGCTCTTAAATCCATCGCTACCCTCCACCGAGAGGCTGACCTACGATACTTCTTGGAGCGTGTCAAGAGCAACACCGCCGGATATTTCTTCCGAATGGAACGCAATCACCGCAGGTCAGGATTCACTTACTCCTTGAAGATTATCGCACCGAATAATGCAGTGAACAACATATTCGCCTGGAGAGTTTCCCGCCAGCTCAGGAATTCACTCTCCTATGTGTGAACCTTTTTTCCCTACGTAAGACCAATAAAAAGAGATTATGAATTATGAATGAATATCTCTTGGCGCTTTCAGGCTATCCTCATCCCTTGCGATGAGAACTTTTGTGCGGCTATGCTTGAATACCGCAGTCCTGCAATCCCGCGTCATTTTGGGTCTGCGTCATTCTGGGTCCGCGTTTTTTCTCCGCCTCCTTCCCGCCCGCGCCATTTTCGGGTCGCGAAATTTTCGCCGAGTCATTT